CACCAAATCTGCAAAACCATACGCTAATTTTCGGCCTTTGACTCAGTTTTCAATTTCATAAAACACTTTTTGCAAAACACAACACACACTTCTCTATGCAACACACACAAATCTAACAGGAATTAATATTATGGCAAAGCTGTTTGCAAATGTTTGCTTTTGAGATGTGTTTGTGATATTTTGAATGCAGTGCTTCATTTTGCAAGAGATGTGAGGCATTTTGCATTTTGTGTGTGCAAATCTTGGATTTGTGTGTGAAGTTTTGAAAATATGTGCAAGCAGCTGAAAAAGAAAACTGTAATTCCTGTTAGATTTGTGTGTGTTACATAGAGAATTGTGTGTTGTGTTTTGCAAAAATTGTTTTATGAAACTGAAAACTGAGTCAAAGGCTGAGAATTAGTGTATGGTTTTGTGTGTAAGCAGCTGAAAAAACTGTAATTAACATTGTAATAATTACACTGTAACAAGTGTAACCTTCTTTTACTGTATCTTAGATCGAATAAATGCAACCTTGCTGAGCAGAAGAGACTTCATTAAAAACACCAAAAATCTTGATTAATCCAAACGTTGTAATCTCCAGACTCAGCATGGCCAGTGATGTACTGATGAATCCCTCGCTCACCTGAGAGAAGCTGAGTCTGTTCAGAGGATGGCACTGCTCCTCCACCTTCTCCACGGCTCCCGTCCTCTTCCTCATCCTCTGGGCCTCCTGCGCCAGGTACAGGTCCAGCACAGGAACGCCGCGCGTCTTGATGTCGGCCTCGGTCAGAGAGTTGACCATCAGCATCACCCACACGGGCCGCTTGCGCTCCCAGTTCCCGGCGATGGCGTTGAACAGGTAGTCTGCGTATATCAGTGTTGAAACAGTTCATATTTTTGTGGAAACCATGAAGTATTGTATTTTTCAGGATTCACTGGTGAATAGAAAGTTCAAAACAACAGCATTTATTTGAAATATACATATTTTGTAACATTTTAAATGTCTTTACTGTCACTTTTGATCAATTTAATGTGTCCTCAATGAATAAAAGTATTACTTTCTTTAAAAAAAAATCTTACTGACCCCAACCTTTATATATATATATTTTTTTTTTTTCAGCTGCTTACACAGATTTTCAAAACTTTGCCTCTTTTTTTTTTCAAAAACTTTAAATTAATTAGTGTATAGTTTTGTAGATTTGGTGTGTGCTTCTGCTGTTTGAGTGACAGCTTTCAGAAACTGTGTGACGAGTGAAGATCTTGTGTGGAAGCAGATGAAAAACTGTAATATTATCCGCTGATAAAAAGGAGTCCCTTCTGCTCATCAAGGCTGCATTTATTTGACCAAAAATACAGTAAAACAAATATTAAATAATATTACCGTTTAAAACAGCTGTTTTCTATGTGAATATGTGTTAAACTGTAATTTATTTCTGTGATCAAAGCTGTATTTTCAGCATCATTACTCCAGTCTTCAGTGTCTGAAAAGGATTTAAAAAGAAAATAGCTTCATACTCTTGTAATTGACCGATAACCTCAAAACGTCCAAATATTGGCCAGTTAATGTCACTCTGTCACAACATCAGTGTTTTTTCCATTCTCTCAGATTAATGAGCTGAAGATGTGCAGCTGTGAAACACTTGTAAACAGTTAACAGACTCCTGAAGCTCGTGAAGTTTCATAAAGATGTTCTGAGACACTCGCACCAAAGGCAGGCTGCTTGTTTCTGAACGCTGGATTCATGCAGTCACTACTGAAGAGCTGATGTTTATTCACAAGCTGCTCATGCCTTCAATAGACAGTTCATATCTAATTAGTGCCTTTGACAGTCTGACGCTCCAGAAACAAGTTTCAACAAATGCATATTGAATAAAGTGACAGAAACATAGTTTATAGCTACTAAATATAACACTGTCAGCTCGTGCAGAAGCATTGTGTTTTATGTTCAACAAAGTGAGCCTTTAAAACTCTAGCAATGTCTGTGCAAATGTTGCTTTCTAAGAGCTCTTATCTTCCATTCAAACACTGTGATTTAAACCCTTTTACATGTCAACCCCAGTGTTTATATTCCATTATGACACATGCATGTTCCATATCAAAGAGCTGATGGCGCTTAATAACTTTCCATAAGAGTCATTATTGGTCCTACATTATTTAACATTAAACCAGTCAATGTCATGCAACTTTAACTTTTATGTACATACATACTCATATTTGCACCGTACATGCTGATGAGCTGCTGATTTGATTGGTAATATCTACTACAAGGAAGTGATTTGTAAGTTTTTAATAAGGAAAAGCCCTTACTTTGGCGTTGAGGTCGCAGCTGGTCTCTCTGAGGTCGTGCTGGTTTGCTCTCACCATCATCATCAAGCAGGTTTGGAGAAAAGCGCCCCAACTAACCACCAGCATCATCATCTCAGTCTTCTGCAGAATCTCCAGCAAACGCGACTCTTCTTCACTGGCGATCAGAACAGTCCACAGGAGTGAAGAACGTGCGAGGAAAGTCCGCAGTGCTCGTGAAGTGAGCCATCCTGGAGAAGAGCTGGACTGAGCCAGAGACGCCCGAGGAGCAACTTCTGCTCTCCATACGAGCAGATGCAGTCTGTCACGAAGCTCACGCTGCAGTGGTCACTTCACACACATCCTGGTCGCACGAACACACGCTCAAACCGCCGAGGAACTCTTCAGTTTGTAGTTTAGCGGATCTGCTCTTTGAGCTTCTCCTCAAACTCTCCAAATGAGTCGCTTCTGTTCCTCCGCGGCTTCTGACTCTCACTGCAGCGCAACAAGTTCTCTCTGTGTGTGTGTGTGTGTGTGTGTGTCGGAGGGGGCTTCACCTTCCCCCAGCAGCCCCTCTCTCTCCCCACTCTCTCTGGGTAAATCTCCTGCAGGAGCAGCAACACACAGCGAGTCCAAACACACACACACACACATATATATGCACCCTCACCAGATTTTCAAATATTGTCCTATCCTAACAAACCATACATCAATGGAAAGATTATTTATTCAGCTTTCAGATGATGTATCTATGCTTATGACTGGTCTTTGTGGCCCATAATTGCACTTTCACCATGTCTCTCTACGTGTTTTACTTTAATGAGCTCTGGTTAATCGATCCTAATGACATTCTGTGCTCTTCTGTTGTTGGATTCCGGGCTAGTTAAGATTTCACACAAACCTGGACTTCATCCTGAATCCATCAAAGTTTTTTTGGGAAGGTTACTTTAGAAATCTAATAAATTACAGATTACAAGTTACCCTATTTAAAATGTAATAGTAGTTTAACTATTTCAATTACTTTATTAAAATAATGTAACTGATTACATTTGATTACTTTTCTAAATGTCTAATGAATGCTTTCAACTGTCAATCATTTTCAAACATGTAAAGCAGGCAGGGTTAACATTACAGTATGCTAGAACTCAACGCTGATTTCTGTCAGACTTTCAGAATACTTCATCACTTGAATTAAGATTATGAAAATGTAATTTTTAAGCACAGCCACCACAAAACCAGACTTTAGCAGCTCTTTTCACTTTGAGATCATTCTGAGGTTAAATACAGATTTAAAATCATAACAAAATATAGTTTAATAGCTACTGTATGACACTGTTTCTGAAATCAAATCTTTGCACAGTTATGACAGGAAATACTGGCATCTAACAGTGCTTTGGAAAAAAAAACAGTTAATCATAAAAAAATTATGCATATACATAAATGTGAAATTGGAATTGTAGCTGAAATAAAGTTTTTTATATTTAATTTTATTTCAGTTAATGTTTATTTTATTTCAAGTATTTATTATTATTACTGTTATTATTATTATTTTTGACTATTAACGCTAATGGAGTCAAGATTGTAATTTAAAAAAATATGGTGGAATATGATTCACATAAAAATGTTTTATTCATTCATTTGTAAAACTGTCAACTTTAGAATTCCAAAAGTTTCCTTCTGGGAGACACTCGTATGACAGAAGAAGAAGAAGATGATGATGATGATGATGATGGTTTTACTGGCTGGATTGGGTGTAGATCATGTATTACTGTACATTATATGTACATGATGCTCTTATGATTGTAGCATCTCAGTGTAACTATTGTAATCGTTCTGATTGGCTGTGATGGGTAGATGCTGTTTAGTTCTCACACTCGTGCAGAAGAGTAGAGCCCTTCATGGACTGGTTTTGTGAGGAACATGTGAAACAATGATTTTTTTCCCAGTCCAAGGTGATTTTTCTTACCTTAAGTGTGACATTAGTGTCAGTGTTTCACTGAGAGGGCAGGTCACAGCGCCCCCATGTGGAGCTTCTCAAATCTGCTCTAATTTAACACTCAACCCGTTTGGAGCATCTCTGTCTGCTTCTTATTTTACATTCTCAGCAGATCTTGATTCCCAGGCAATGCATGAACTGATAACGTGTCTGATAAGTGTGCCAAATCATTTGAGACACTGTGTGAGCACAATGACATGAATGCATGACAAAAAATGTGAATAAAGAAGACTTGATCATCATGAACAACACAAAAGAAAAGTCTCTTGCTGCTTTGTAAATGTTGTTATTTGTTAAACTAGTTTGAAACATTTAGTCAGACGCTTTTAGATCAAAGAGTTTTGAGTTATTATATGAAACATGAGTTGTGAGGAACATCAGCTGAGATGACGTGAAGCGCTGATACTGATGTCTCTCACTGTAAAACACATAAAGATGAAGCTCATCATCACAGCTCATGATGGACACAATGCCAAACAAACCCACGGCTGGAAATAGAAATACACAAACACAGAGCGAGTGATGAAACCACACGAACATCACAGAAGCGCAGTGTTGAGCTCAGATCTACAGTGAATGTCATCACAGAAATATCAGCACGTCTCACACACTTTACACTTTCTGACATTTATAGTGCAGAACACAGTTTGATGTGTTTGACATTCATTGTGCAAATTACCATTTCATTTCAAAAGTAAAATGCTGACATTGAAAAACAATGGAATGCTTAACTACCTCCAGAACACACAGCTCTCTGTCTCATCATCACCTGACTGTCGTTTATCTGTGAGCAGATGAGATCTTACATGTGATTTCAGATCAATTCACTTGGACATTTCGTTTAGTTTTGTTGCAATATTTTATTGGTCAAACATTATAAAGCGTAAACAGTAATTGGGATATTTCCATTACAACAAACAAACAAACAAACATAATAAATAAATTAATAAATTAATTTAATTATTTTAATAAAAAAAAAAAAAAGATATATTCATTAAAAATGAAAAATGTTTTTAATTTAAATCTTACATCTCATGTACACTGGGAAAAAAATGGCGCAGAGACTATTTTCACTCAGAAATTGCTAATAAATTTCACAATTATTTACATTGGAAAAAGTAACACATGGATTTAAACATGAAATTTTGAAATAGAAAAACTGAATCTGTGTTTTCTTGTAAAACATGTATCTGTAATCTTCCATAATCCTCCATAAACATCAAAAATATTATTTACAGTGTACATTACGGAGCCATTCTGAATTTTTCTAAGTCAAAGTCTAGTCTAGTCCTGTTTATTGCCTGAATCATTTGTGTCTTGATCCTAGCCTGCTGTGTATCTCGTCTCTGTGTGTTCTCTGCCTGCCTTGGACTTTAGCCTGTCTTGGATTTTCCTTTTGTCTTGCTGTTTTGGACTATGTTTGCATCTTGCCTGGAATACTACCTGTGTTTGTGGTTCACCCTCTGGAGTACGAGAGCAGAGCAGTAGAGCAGATCATAATGCTCAAAACACCACAGGCCGCACATGAACAACTACAACTACCTTCAACACAATGTGAGTCACTTTAGATGAAAGTTTCTGTATGCAACGAGTATGAATGTCAAGTCATGTCATCTGTATTTCTTCAGCACTTTATACAATACAGATTGTTTTAAAGCAGCTTCACAGTAGGAAAATAACAGGGAAAATAGCAAGACATTTTTTTTATTATTAATTTAATAACATAATAAAGTGAAACTGGAGAAAAAAAAGAGGAAAAAAACATAAACCAAACCTTAAAAAAAAAAAATGTAAAATGTAAAAATAAATGAATGCATGTATTTATTTTTAATAAATTCATTTTATTTTTACATTTTTTATTTTAATATATATATATATATACTATTGTGGTCCATCTGTTTAGCGCGCATGCGTGCAGCAGCACTCGTTCACTCACGAAGCCTCGTTCACTCCTGACAGCAAAATGGATATATTTGCATGACTTTCTAACATTTACAGATGAAAAATATACCTGTGACGTGTCAGTTATGTACTGAGGAAAACAAAATGTCTCAAATGCATTAAACAGCACAAATATTCGCTGTTTGCCATAGTGGATCGATTTGATCCATGGTCGACATTAAGGGCTGCTTAAGAATAAGCGTGAACATCAAATTATCCTGACTCACTGAACCTGGATCGAATTAGTGAGATTGCGTGAATTTAAACAGTCGTTTATGAAACCGCTTTAGTCCCGATTGATTTGTTAGGTTATTTCAAGTCAGGTTTTGGACTTTAATCCCCGCTTTTCTTAGCGTGTTTTATGAAACGGCCCCCTGGTCAGTGACTCCGCAGAGTCTTAATGAGCCTGATGAACATCACAGTTCACACGTGTCAGTTTAACGAGCTGATGAATCAGTTTCTAATGAATGTCACAGACAGCAGGAGCTGATGTTAATCATGTTAATGACTGAACTTTCACTTCAAAGACAGCGTGTTTATTGATGATTCTGAACAAACAGCACGTTTGTTTTCATATGTTTATTAGTTAAGTTGACGAGGGTCTAACGAAGTGATGATCCTCAGATCGTCCTACTCTATGTATATTCATCTGTCTGGTTATGAAGGTGTTTCAGGAGCTCTTGAGCTCAAAGTAAGTTTCTTTCTGAAACGCTGAATATGACTGAATCCACCTGTAGGTCTCACATAGTCTCAGATTGTCTCATATAGTCCAATCAACATCAGTTTCATTCGATCTCAGACAGTCTTATACACTCTCAAACACTCTCACACACTCTCGCACACTCTCATACACTCTCGCACACTCACACACTCTCATACACTCTTGCACACTCTCACACACTTTCATACACTCTCGCACACTCATACAGTCTCACACATTCTCATACACTCTCGCAGTCTCACACACTCAAACACTCTCGTACACTCTCACA